CGGAATAAATATTTAGGGAAGCCCAGATATTGGTCACGGTCATCTGGTTACGGGTGAGTGTGCCGGTTTTGTCGGTGGCCAGAAGGGTGATGGCGCCCAGGGTCTCCACACCTTGGAGATCCTTGACAAGTACATTTTGAGCAGCCATTCGTTTGGCGGCAATGGTCAGGAGAACGGTGACGGTCGCAGGCAAACCCTCGGGAACCCATGCAACGAGTACCGAAATTGCGAAACTGATGGTAAGCGAAAAGTTATTATCATTCACCTTGAATCCGATACCGAAGAAAATGATGGCACAGATGATGGCGATGGTGGCTATTATTTTCACAAAACTATCAATTTCCTGTGACAAAGGTGACTTGTTCTTCTCTTCACCGGCGGTGAGTCCGGCAATCTGTCCTAGTACAGTGTGATCGCCGGTGCGAATGACAATGCCGTATCCTTCACCGGAAACGACAAGCGTACCGTTGAAACAGAGGTTCGTAGCTTCCAGTGGATTTTTTTGGGTGTTCGTCTTTTTGCGCTCTTGTGGCTCAGATTCACCGGTTAGCGAGGAATTGTCCACCTTCATGTCGTTAGCAGCGAAAATGAACAGATCAGCGGGAACCTTGTCACCCATCTTTATGAAGACCACATCCCCATGAACGAGGTTCGAGGCCTGTATCTGCATGAGTTTCCTTTCCCTAAGAACGTAACATTTTTGTGGAATCATGTTCAAGAAAGATTCTAAAATCGCGGCCGACTTTTGTAGTTGATAAAACTCGATGAACGCATTCAGAAACGCTACTCCTATTAAAATGGCGCCAAGATAACTCTAATGAAAAAGGAATCTTTGATTAGGAAGATGATTTGAACTATAATGTTATATTTCAAAGAAAAGAAAAGGGGATGCATACATTAGCTTGGTTCGCCACACTATTAATACCGAATAGAATATACATCAAAATGCCGGCTATTATCAACAGAATGTTGAACAAGGTCGAAAGACACTCGAGGTATTTCATAATCGGATGCTTCTTCTTGGGCGGGGTCAGAACGTTAGGACCGTTCGTCGCCAATAACTGGGCAGCTTGACTCTCCTGTAAACCACGTGACTCAGCGGGTTTTACAGTGTTTACGTCAACGTTATAACGCTCAGCTACTTTTTCTATCGAGAACAGATGCTCATCCTAAGGAAAAAAGGTGATCATTCGGTTTCGATTTTTTAGGACATTTAAAAGTATCAGAGTAAAGTGAATTAAATCAATAGCTTATCGCATGCGACAATGATGCGCACACGGATCAAATTAAGGAATGCTTACAATGTCAACATTCTTTCTTGGTGGAACCTTTTCGTCTTCGGTCGGAAGGTCTTCAGGAGACACACTTTCTTTCGTATCGGGGAAACGCTCAACTTTTTTCTGCTCCGTGAAGTGGATCCTTGCGGGAGAATGAACAGTATCATCGGTCGCGCTGGTCTGCTTTTCACTAAGTTCTAGATGAGGAAAAGGGTAAGAGCATTCGTTATGGAAAATTAGGTGTGCCCAAATTTTTCTTCTAAAGAAGATGACGACCTCATTACCTTCGGTCACATGTTCATCCGTCTGTGTGACCATTGGATCGGATTCCATTATTGCTTCCCCTTCGGTTGCCGATCGAACCTTTTCCTGAGGGACTGAAGAACCATTAACAGTCGAAGATTTTCCTTCATCCGACGACATTTTAAAAAAAATGTTCAACGAGACGAAAAAAAAAACTCGATCTAAAAATGTTTGATTCTTTTTATCCTTAGTCTGTGTAATGCCCTTGAGAATGAGAAATATCAATTATTGTGTGAGTAAGGCGTAAAATGCGAATCGACAGCATTGTTAGAAGAGTGTATTTTAATACCTTGTATATAGTTAATGGACGAAGAATTCATATAACAGGTTGCGAGAATTTTAATTTTTAATTTTTTTTTTGGAACGCAATTATTATGCCAAACAATCCGGGGAGGGCAGGCGGAACCGAGGACCTTACGAAGAATGCATGGACATTTTACTTCCAGATCTCAGTTAAAAAAAAAAAAAAATGGCATAGATTTTGAGGCCTTTATATACTTGGTTTTGTTATAATACTGTATATCACGGTACGCTTTTGTATAAAGGAAAGTTGTATGTGGCACGATCGTGACCGCATTCGGTAAGTAAAAGAGTAAAAAGGTGAACCCCGACTTAACTGACCTTTTCCTTTTTTCCTCATCTATCCATCATTATTTGAAAAATGGAAATTGCTACGTCTATATGTATTTGATCTGCATACCGCGTAATGATGATGTAATCTCTCCACGCATGAATCATGAAATCCAAGGGAGAATAAGAATGGTCCGGAGAGTAGCGCCAGGCGCAAAATGCATCAGGTTTATTGGTTTAATTGCAATAATTGATAAAAAGATAATTTCAGTATCCCAAGAATTACACCAACTAAGCCTTTGCGATATGTTCAATGGTGATGACTCCGTACTTTTTATTAGTATTATTATAATTTTTTTTTTTTCTAATTATCTGTGATGGAACAAACAATGCATGAGGTTAAATTAATAAATTGGCATTGAGATGCACGAATGAGCTGGAAAGCATACAAGAGGGAAATGGGAATTAATGTTGATTCTTGTACCGCAAAAATATCTGCTATAAATAGGAAAATGAATCCCAAATCAGCGCTTAGAACGACCAAGAACTCAGAAACGCTGTAACTGCAGATCACGTGTAACTATTTGCTTTTATTTTTTTTCAAGGGATTAGGGGGCACAAGAAAAAAGGGACAAGCTTACTAAAGGTGGTTTACTTTTTCTTTTTTTTTTCTTTTTTTTTTTTTTAAAAAAAAAGTACGTAATCATTTATTGTGGAACGACTGTTTGAAATTTATTTCTGTCCCTGCAAAATGCGACCTTAATTAACATAGATATCTTTGATAACAAGTAAAGTCACGTGGAGAATAAATACCCGAGCCAATTTAACAGTGCCGTACACTGAGCCTAGAATACCAAAGCCAAGTGTGGTAAAGTATAAGAACAAGAAGGGCTTTCTGGCCGGGCCTCCACGAAGCCAGAGAGGTTCGTTAGTATGTGCCTAAGGATTTTTTTTTTTTTTTTTTTTTTGGTTACTTAATACTCTTTTTGACAAGGTTCCTTTGCTTTAAGTCCAGCGGTAAAACGTTCATATTCTGAACGGCGACCTTACTTGAAAGAACTTTTGCTTTTCTATAACTCTGTTCGGTCGATCGATTATGCCCGCCATCAGTTTATCAATATGAAAAGAAAAAAAAAAAGAAATGCAGGGAAAATCGGATGATTTATATTCCTGTTTGCACATTGCACGAATTACATATCATGTGACGTAAAAGTAATCTCGTTAAAAAGAAAAAAAAACAAAAAAAAGCGGCATTGAGATGGATTGCTTCAAAGTCGATTATCCCCAGCTGGTCTTCCTTTTTTCTGGATCGATTGGCCACAACATCCAATTCCATTTGTACGCAGCTTGAATTCTCACCGGGTCACCGTTGTTCAGAACCTTACCTGTGCGAATTGAATGAATCATGTTATTTACTAGCTAGCCTGATTATTTTAGACCGGATGTACTTGCCATCCCAAACCATGATGCCGAAAGCCTTCCCGTGCGTGATATCCTAATTGATGGAATCTTTTCTTATTGAGCAATGTGTTAAGATAAAAACATTGGAAATCCCATTCGTCGCTTGCCTTCATTTTCAGTGAAACCTTGGTAATCTCATAATAGGATCCGGTGATTCCCTTTTTTACCCAATGATCAGGAGCCTTGGTTAAAAAAAAAAAAAAAGAAAAAGAAAAGAAAAGCATATATGTATATATTCTTTGCTGCTGAATTTTTTAATAAAAATTAATGGTCGGAAAGCAGGTGTTGAATTTGTACCACTTTGATTCCAACTCCATAATCGGGATAAACATTCAACAGTTCGAATAAGTTTTTCTGTCTCTTTGCATCAATGATAATGGGGAACCGGACTTCACTATGATTTAAGAGTCTCCTTGCGATGTTTGTCATGATTAGCGCGAAAGAGAGAGATTCTAAATAAATTTCACGCTCAATTTTATTGGTCGAATTGCTTGGAAATACAAATCTCGTGATCCAACCGGTAGATCATAAAAATAAGGATGATGATAGAGGTATCGCCATTCTATCATCATCGGTTCCCAACTCGGATAAATTCCAGTTGGCTTGAATTGTGGGTAGCATGCTATAATGGTTATATCTCATGTCATTCTCGTGTTTATGAGAAACTAAAACGTTTGGCCCAATAAGTACGGTGTATATTTGGTTATATTTCAATAGGTCCGCTATATGGTCAAAGTAGGTTGACTCATCAAATGTAATAACAAGAAGTGATTTGGAATTTGCCAACACTGGTTCAATGAGCGGAATGAATTTCGTTTTCAGGTAATTGCTCGCAAAAGAAAGGTTGGTTTTGTGACCGCTGTTCCTGACATTGGGTCTTTTGGTAAACGAGATCACGATTAATTAGTGATGGAACGTGTGAATGATGACACCCCCAAAAAGAAGAAAAAAAAATGTCTGAGGAAAACGTTGCTAAATACTGACGTGTAGAAGACATATTGGGGGACGGTTCCTTGTGCAATGTCCTTGGTCAACTCATCGGCGTTGACGATTTTAGAAACAAGGGTTTCATTATCACGAATTTCGTTCATAGATATGAAGGGATTGTATTTGCGAAAATACAATTTGTCGTCGGAATTCTTTCCTGTAAAACCATTTCCTGATTACGAATGTATTAGTTAGAAGTGGTTGCTAGGATCACCATGTTACCATCGATCAACGCTCACCGGGATAGTTTTCGATATATGCTTTCCACGAAATGCCCTTCGCTGCTAGCAAATTTGGTAAGGAAGGACCGTCGACGTCTTGAACGAAATCAGTGAACTATTTGTGTTCACACATTTGAAATGAGAATCGGTGAGTATGCATATGTCGCTTTTCCGAGATTAGCGCGACAAGCTACACCATATCACGTCACGTTTGGATGAACAAATCATGGCAATGTAATTTGGTTGCGAGGGATGCCATATTGCGTGGAAATTGGTCAGTGATATTCCTTGGTGGGCCTAGTAGTAGACTATTAGTTACTTCATGACCTTAAAACAACACTTACGTCGGCTCATACTCAACAAGGTAGGACAGGTAGGGATCTTTCATCGAGTCATCATAACTAGATTCTCCCAATACAATGGTTATAACTCTAAAGAGGTAATAGATTTTTTTTTTTTTTTTTTTGAAACAATTCGTTGTTTTCGAAGAAATTTCTCCTGTGGCATAACTTACCGATCGAAGTAAATGCCATTGACCAAAGGTGTATCTCGAAAAGCGAAAACAATATGTGAAATGTTTGCAAGAAAGAGTATTAATAATATGTTTAGGTTGCAAGATCCCATATCAAACAAAGGGAAATTAGGAAAGGTGTCGAAAATGAAAGCGAAATTCGTCGCGTAACAAATGGACCAATATGCTCTCTCGTGACACTTCTATTAAAGGATTGTAATACTTTGTAAAATTTCATAAGCATTGACCAATCAGATTATAAATGATGAATCAAAAAGTTCTGCTCGACAGTCAATCTTACGTGTCTTGAATACGCGATATAATGGTTAGAGTAACAAGGAGTCAGTATGCAAAGGAAACTCAAGTGTTACCGGTGACTTCTGTTGCACACGATAACGAGGCGAACTCATCGTCTGCCGAAGCAAAACAAAGAGTGAAATCTGTCAAGGTCGAAAAGACGAAGAACGCCGAGGTACTTTTAACCACCACTTCGTACCCTTTGGAGTTTTCGACACCTGTAACTTTTTTCACCCCTTTCATTGAATATAGCAGACCTCGACTGATCATTATCTGGAAGTATGGAACACCATAAAAAAGCACAAGGACAAAAGGTATTCTTCGGATACCTCGTTATTTCGGTCACGTCAAGAGATTTCCTTACATGTTACTTACTTAATCAATAGAGGCCGGCGTATAGCGAGACTGTTCACTTCCTTGCCTGATAAAAAACGTTATCCGGATTATTACGAGGAGGTCGAGAATGAATATCTTTGTCGCATGCCAAATTTGCGCAGAACTTATATGCTCAAATCATTTATTTATTTGTAGATCAAGAAACCGATTTCCTTGGAAATAATAAAGGTTTGTTTTCGCGCGTGATCGTTAGTTTGGTCGTTCTTTCTATGCCACTTTTTTTTCATCCATCGCCTACTGCGATTAATCATATTAAGAAAAAGATTGAACGTAACGACTACCAAGATGAGAGGGAACTGAAGGTCGATTTGGAGTTAATGTTTGAGAACGCAAAGAGATACAACGTGGAAGGTTCGCAGATATATAACGATGCCGTCGAATTACAGGTAATGCAAAGGATGTCCTTAGTTCAATACAACATTTTAGTCGTCCGCTTTGCTTAAGGTCTTGACGTCTTCTCAGATCTTGTCACGACAACTGTTGGGCGGGGGGGCGGATGACGTACTCATGGATGAAGCGTCGACTCCCAACTTTGTTAATGAAATAGAGCATAAGGACGAAGTCTACAGAATTGGTGAGCCCCTTGACCATTTGATCGACATCGGGGAGTTTCTCGGGCATTAACACTGCGCCACAATTTAACAGGCGAATATGTGCACATCGTCAACGAGCGTAATCCAAGCAAGCCGAACGTCGGACTCATATTCAATATATGGACGGAGAGCAGGTGATGGTTCATATTTTTCCCTTTCAACAACTTATTGAATTCACAGGGTTAACGCATTTTCCAAACGTAAATCTAGAAAATCATTTGTCAAAATATGTTGGTATTATCGCGCTGAACAAACGAAGCACCAGGCCAGTAAGAAATTTTTCAAGGACGAAGTCTTCAAGACAAACACGTTTCAAGATCATCCGATCGAAGATGTCATTGAAAAGTGTTATGTTCTGCAGGTTAAAGACTACGTTACCGGTAGACCAAAAAATAGTGAAGGAAAGATGGTTTACATTTGTGAATCGAGATACAGTGAACATGGAAATACTTTTAGCAAAATTAGAAATTGGCTTGGCTGTCTACCTAGAGATTCTCCTGTGATAAAAATAGAATTAGAGAGATTTGAAACACCCTTGGTTCTGAGGAAGATTGGGAGTCCGTTGACCGCTGCTGCGCATGCCAATGAAGAGGAGGAGGAAGAAGAATCGCCGCGATCAACGATGTCCGATATTGAGCCCGAGGAACCTGAGATTGATTCCGTGCAGACGTCAGAAACAGAGTCCGCGTATTCCTCTCCCACGGGTAAGAGATCCGCGCAAACTAAAACCACTCCTAATCGATTGGCATCTCTTAGAACTAGAAGCTCGAGGAGACAACCACCATCATATAACTCGAACAATCCTGCAGACGCGGTTTCCGCTGCTGCCTCACCGAGAACACAACACCCTCACCATTACTCACCATATCCCATCGTTCACCCTCCATACCAGATGGCCACAATGAATCCCATGATGTATGGTGGCTTTCATGATTCAGGGATATCGACTCATTATGGTTATGCATACCCGGTCCCTTACCAACATTCTCAATCACATGTGATGATGCCAACCCCCCAGTATTCACATCCGCAGCATTATCCAGTGATGACCCCACCGGTTCAACCTAATATGACGCAAATTCCGATGCAAACGGATGACCTCTCTGGTAGACAACGGCAGTCGACACCTGGAATCCCCAAAAATAATCATCCAAGCGTCGAGCTTCCACCGGAAACAGGTGCGAAGATTTTGATGATTTGTTTCTGCAGCGAAATCTACTAAACTCATTTCTAACCACCAATCAGCCGAGCATTTCGTGCGCGATGAAAACGGGAAGGTGCTTTGGTTTGCGACCCCACCGATAGACGTGACACCATTACCACAACCGATGCATTCAATTGAATATCTTCATCGATACGATGAAATACGGGCACGAAATGTATGTATTTTATCTCAAAGACGTAATGGAATCATGATCCCTCCTTTAAAAGGTATTAATGATAACTTGATTTCACACGTTTAAAAGAAACTAAGGATGCAAGGAGAGATCTCGAATCAAGAGAATCAAAAAAATGGTGTTAAAAAACAAACCACAATGAAATTAAATTCAGTCCAGGAATCCGAGTTAATTGATACGATTCGAGGTATTTATTAATACTTGAAGTTGATTTTAAACGTCATCTATCGTATTCACCTCTTGTGATCTTTAGAAATATCAAATGGATGGAAAGAGGATGCAATCGCTCTTAAGGCGCGGCTTGACGATCGCTCTTAAGTGCTCCATTAAACGTATGATGTGTAACGCATAGAACCTGAAATCGAAATATCACACTAATTGAATACCACATAATGTCAAATAAAAAGGGTAATATAGTAATGATCATCGAAATTTTAAATACTTTTTGGGGGCATTCGATGTCGACCTGGTAGCCGAGAAAAATGGTGATAAATTTACGCGTCCGACGGTCGCAAACTTCATTGTTGATCTGTAGAAATGTCCATGCTTGTTGTTTTGCTCGTTTCTTTCTCTTCGTCCGATTCAAACGGTACCATAGGGTCAGCAGACTTAAGCGCATATTTTTGTAACCACGCGTCCTCGGACCATACTAAATCGCGAATCATATAGTTCATTTCGTTGTGTGACCACAATCAGTTTTAAAGTGTAAAGTATGGTATTATCAAGTTACCGGCTCGCATACTCCCCTCCTTAATTTTCATCGGCCTAGCCAAGTTAACCTTAATTACTTTGCCGTAAAGCTCCGCTAAGTTCATGTTGTCAATGGCGGCTTGTGCATCGACAGCCTCTTCAAATTCTACAAACCCGAAGCCGCGGTGCTGATTATCTTGGAGCGAAGACCAGCAAGATATTAATATAGCGATAGTAAAAAAATTTTTTTCTTTAAAAAAGAAATGTAAACTTACGAGAAGCCGGATCTGGAGGTATTTGGATCTCGACAATGTCCCCAAATGGAACAAATGCAGCATGTAGAATTTGTTCATTAATCTGGTCGTCTAAACCGCCTGCACGCAAAGATTTTTTTTTGTTTTTTAATAGATAACAATAGAACCATCGCTTTCGGGGCGAAAGTGCAGACTTTGTGCTCACCAACATAAATAGTCGTCTTGGCAGAATTTTCTTTAATTAGAGTTGACATGTTGAACTATGATATCGATTATTGAACTATTTATTTAAAAAAAAACTTTAAACTTTAGATGATTTATTTATTTACAAAATACATTTTTTTTTTAATTCGGCTAATGGGCATACATGCCATACTTTATTGACTGCTACTAATTTCTTCCTCAGTATACATAAAAGATCTCTACATGCAATTCGGGCAAAACTTTTTATCTAAAGATAAATAAATATATAAAATACAGTAAATTATATATATATAATTTAAATGACTTTTAATTCAAAGTTTAATCTTTTCTAGATACAACTTGAAGAATAATATTTTGGTTTAGTTTTTAACTCTCTATCATATTGATTATGTATGTTTTATTAAACATAATGTAGGCTATAGTAATTATAGTGTTGCTAAAGTTAAATTACTAATTAATTTACTCATCTTAGTTTGTTTTCAAACTCTAAATACAACTTTAAAAATAATTTATTGCTTATTTATAGTTTGAATTAATATCTCATACTATTTTAATTCCTATTATTATTATTTTTGTGAAGTTTTCATCTAAATATTTTTTTCTATTATTTTTCTTTTATTTCTTACTCTTCTTCTTTATCTTGTTATACAGATTTTCATAGGTCTTCTTGTCTTATTTTTTTGAAAAATTCTTTAAGCTTTTTTTTTATACTATTATTTGCTTATATTTTTTGTTTCAAACTTTTTTTTTGAAATAATTTAAAACCTTTTTTTTTATAGTAAAGTTTCTATTTTTTAATTATGATTTCAATTTTTTTTTCTTTATATTTTAGTTTCTTAATTTCTATTAATAAATTTTTTTTATTAGTTTTATAAAAAAACTAATTATATTTTGACTTTTTTAAATTATCATTCTTATAAGCTTCATTATAAATACTTATATTTTTCTTGATTCTTCTTTATTAATTATCAAAGTATTATTATAGTTTTATTTTTTTATTTTTATTTTATTTTATAGAATTCTTGATATATAACTTCTATTTACCTTTATTAGATTTTCTTAATTATATTTTTATAGATTGAATATTTTATAAGATATTGTATAATTTCCTCCTACATCAGAAAATTTTTTTGACAAAATCTTCAGAGATTTTTAGGTATAAACTCTAAAGATACTCCATCATCATTAAAAGTCTCTAAAGTGAAAATTTATATATAAAACTTTGGAGATTTTTGAAATTTTTAAATTTTAATAAAATAATTTCACATTATTATTAAAATATTTATTTTTAAAAATTTATTT